TGAGGTTGTGTAAGACAGTAAAGCGCTGCTTAGTTTGTACTGTATGTGAGATTCAGAACATGTTTGGGATTTTATTTTTTAATTTATTAAAGGCTGGAATATTATGTATTTAAAAATGCATTGATTGCGTTTATAATTTCGGTGAAGCCCCTATTCCAAGTAGTAACCTTAGTAATGTTTAAATTATGTTCCAAAGCTAAACACTCAACCCCACTCAGGATTCGGTACCCCCCCCCCTAGAAATTAAACACTGCAGTAAGTAATTTATATGTGGAATTTGGTAAAATTGCTATGATAATTTAACCAATTGAAATGTAAGTTATTATGTCAAGGAGAGTACAGACGAAAGTAAAACATTGTACAGGATGAACTTTGGACTAATAAAATTATCAAAGTTTTCAAAGGTGCGAAACATAACTTCAAAAATGTCAAGTACTGGTTATCTCCTGCACATGTTTATAGAGTTTTGTTAAATAGCTATCACACATTTTAGAGTAGGTTGCACCTATTTTATTCTGGCAGCTCGCCTTGTGTATTTAAAGAATCTTTGAAACTGAAAACGTTTTGTGTTCAAAACTAGTTCTGAAAGTTATACTTGTGGGCACGAAAAATAAGTACTAAAGCATCATTTTTAATGTTTGAACGTGTAATGATATCCAGGTGAAGATAAACTGTTCATGACATAGAATTGGTGTTGCAACCAGAGAAAAAAAGCCAAAAAATGTACTCTTAAAATTTTGTAAGTTGGGCTAAAGAGAGAATGTTTGGCGTTGCTGATTTCAAGGTTCACAACAACCATGATTTTATTATTGGGATCTTAACAGTTTTTACCTGTGTATTCCGGAATAAATGTTTGCCTAAAAAAAAAAATTCAGAATTTAGCTTTCGGAAGTCTTAACTTGTATTTCATGCTTTTTGGATAGAGTATTGAGTCAGTTTTTAGATGCTTGGGCATGTTCTGGCAAGCATCAGACCCAAACAGAAGTTATCTTCTTTCGGTTTAAAAACACGCTTCAGGTGTAGCTAAGTTGTAGTCGAAAGGTTTCTGTGCAAATGAATTATATTCGACAACTTGATTGATTTCGCTGGTTTTTCCTTTGTGAATGTAGCAACATTTCCCGTTGGTGAAGAACGATTAAATCTTAAAAGCTGGTGCTATTTTTACTACTGTGTATTAAAATCACTGTCGATGATACCCTTAACAGACGTTTTTCGTGTAAGTCGCTTATTGACCCTGTTTTTTCGTAAGTGCCTGTATATTCTGTTAGCATTTACCTTTTTATGAGTTGTGTCGTCAGATTCTTTGAAAGTCGCATAGTGAAGCGAATTTCGTATTTGATTAACGTGTGTAGATGCCACTAGCATACAAAAAAGGGTGCTATAGAATAAACTGTTTCGAGTTTGTTTTACTTTGTAGCCATACATTTAACCACGTAGAGATTGTTTAAATGCAGTTCTCTTGGTGTATTTACATTCGCTTCACTGTTAATCATTAAGTTATTATTCATCCTGTAATAAATATGTTTTGTGTTTTAGACACACAACGCACTCGTAAATACAAATAATTTTATCCAGTTTAAGTTTTAGAATAGTTTTTAAAACAAATATTTGTTGCATTTTCCTGGACATGTGTGTACCATGGTGGAGATTAATACTTACTTGCTTTAGGACGGTAGTGTGGATTAAAGCGGTTTATGGAACGTACAGTCGCACGCAAAAATATGCATGTTCGACAAACGTACAACAAATATGTGCATTAAGCAGCTCTGACGCTGTGAGTGGAGTGTTAGCTTTCGCGTACATGTAGTGAGTGACGTTCTATTGAGCGACGAGTATAAACGCTTATTTCGAAAGATTGTTGAAATAGCGTCAGCAGCTTTGTGGCAGTACTTGGCAAGCTTGTGAGGTTTAAGTATTAAAGTGTAGTAAGTCTAATGTAGTTTTCACTGGTTATACATCAAACTAGAATCTCAAATAAAAATCACTTCAATAAAAATTGATAGTCGTTACACTTACCCGTGCAGTACCGACTAAGTAATGTAACTAAATGAAAATAGGTATTATTTACCTTCTTAACGTGTTGTTGGGGTTCATCTGTTGTCCGAATTTGAATGAACTGCCTCTTCTATATTGAAGCACATGTTTCATCCGAACTGTATAGAATGTAAGTTATATATATATGTATGTGTTTGTAATGTGAATTTGACAAGTCTTTATAAAGGGACATAAATTGTCCATTGGAATGTTTGACATTAGAATGTAGAAATATAAACTGGTGAATATTATGTGAAGGAAAAAGTAACTTCTATGAAATTGATTTGGGGGAGGGGGTTCTGAAAGTGTGCACCCCCCCCCCCCATTTCTGTATATAGTTTGTATTTGTTTCAAGAGAGCATCTAAATATGCTGCCAGAAGCTTGGACTTTAAGATCAATTCATGTCTTATTTAGGTATCCCAATGCCAGGAAGGAAATGATAACCTACCAATAATTGTTTTTTTTACCACATTTATTTGAGTGACATTCTTTTGAGTATTTGTAGTTGATCTTTAGGCCTTACTAAATGAAAGTGGAATAAATTTGGGATCCTCCAAATTATTTTTACCATATAAATAATGACAAGCTATAGATAGTAGTTTTTTAATATTTTACCTGTTTTGTGAAAGAAATGCTGGGTATTATGTAGTTGCTAAAAGTAGAAGCATATAGTTAATATTTTTAATTAATTAGTTAGATTTGTCTAAGCCATATTGTTTTAAGACTCCTATATAGTTTGCAGGCTGCTTTATAACCAATTATTTCTTTGTAACTTCAAGCAAAATTCCCATAAGCCTGCTTTCACTTTGCATATAAATCATACAGTATCATTCATATGAACTCATTTATATTTGTGGTTTACACTATCAAAACAACTTTTACATTTCCACAGATAAACAGTTTAAGTGATATTTTTCTATGCAGCTGCTGGAAAATTATGATTTTTTCATGCATGTCATGTGTGTGCATAAATATGCACAAGTTTGCATTTATTACAGTTTTATGAATTTTCTCTTCCAATTTTAGTCACAGAATTATTAGACCTTTCAAAAGTACATTTGTTGAAATAGTTTACAAGAAATTGACTTAATGTGCTATTGGTATTTGATTTAAAAAGTATTTCTTTTAATGGTACAGTGTTATTTAGTATAAATAAATTTTTTATGTTTTAAGACTAAATGGGGAATTTTTAAAAAGTAATTTACAGATACAACTGTTTAGGATAATAAAGTAAGTTATTCAAGAATGAATTGAAAAATATACTTAGTTATTGTAGATTATTTTGGATACAAATGATTAGTATTCTTAAGGTTATACTAAAACTTTTACATGTAAAAGATGTTTTTTGCATATTGCCATTATGAATCTTATGATGAATGTGTATATTTTTTTTAAATTAATTTTCAGTTCTTGAATTATGTGTGTGTGAAACAAGTATTTCTAAATTAATAAAAGTTATTTGTATCTAATTCATCAGAGCTTATGAAACTATTTTACTTTTCTTTTAGCACAGAAATACATAATGTGTATGTGTAAGTTGCAAAATATTTTTCAACAGCTTAACTTATTTAATGGATAAGTTTTAGGGTTAGGATATACCGGAAAGATACATAGCTATACATTATTATGATTCATTTCTTGACAAGTATCAGCAAAAATTTTGTTTCACGGAAAAATATTTAACTTAGGTTGCAGAAAGTCCAATTGGACTAATAGTGTTTAATGTTGTGATCCAAAAAATTGAATATATAAAGCTTTTGGTGTATTTTTCTTGATTATAATGAAATATGTATTTGGATATGGGCTGCCATGGCCTAGTAGTTAGTATACAAGACTTTGAATCTGAAAGTTCATGGTTTGCATTCTATTGACAAAACATTGCATTATCTACTTTGGGGGTCATGGGTGCATTATATGAGTGATAATGAAATCCCTTTTTAGAGACTCCAAAGAGTTGGCAGTAGATGTTGACTATTTGCCTTCTCTCTAGTCAGTCAATTCAAGAGTAGGAACAGCTGACATAGATAGCTGTTGTTTTGCTTTATGTGATTGTCTGAAACAAACTCCATAACTTGTATATCAAATACCAAAGATCATCAGTTTACATTTAGATTTTGAATTTTACCTGAACACCCTTATGTTTATAGTTGTTGCTTTGAAAAATGCATACATAGTGAAAATAATTTACTGTTAGCTGTAATGAGAGTGGGAGTTAATATTTAACAAACAGAGTTAATAATAGTTAAAAAATGTAAGTGATTACTTTTACTTGGGAAGACACTGTTGTACTGTGTTCAGTTGATTCTGAAAATTCCTGAAACCGGGTGCTAATCCCTACTATTAAAATACTTTCAACTTTGTGTAAAACAATTTTGTTTTTGAATTCTTCTTTCACTTTTTTTAATAATGTTATTCAGTATATATTTAACATACTAAAATTTATAAATATTCCTTTTCAAAGTGATGTTTATAGGTGAGAAATATTTAAAACTGTGATTGATTATAAAGATGTATATTTTTTCTATCATTTACTTGGAGATTATTTTTGAAGGGAAAATATGGTAGCAAATAAACTGTATTTCATTATTTTGGTGTGATAATTTAAAATTTATCCTTTTATCATCTCCACCTGTATATTTATGAATGCTAAACATCTCCTGTACATTTACATCAATTACAGTAATGGAAAAACCCTTTCATGGTTGGTAAAGGGTTAACATATATTGCAAGAAATTCATAATCACAATATAAATATGATTTATAAAAGAATTTTATATCATTTTAAAATCATTGTATTTTTAACTTATCACTTGTACTTTTCAATTTTATTTGAGAGGACACCCAGAGTGCAGATGTTTTCCTTGTTGATGTTTTAAGGAAAATATTCTTTATAAGTATAGGTATTTCTATGTTTGTCACTGGATAAAAGAACTTAACTGAAATATGTGATGCTGGCATTTTACAGTCGGCGTTCCTCCCGAGCAAGCAAGCTTCCTGCAGTGAGTTCCAGTAGTGTGGACGGAGGAGCAGGCCGACTACAGGGAGCTCCAGGCAGGAGTGGCATGTCAGAAGCAGACTCGGGACAAGAGGGGACGTCGACTACTTTCAACAGTGAAGATGCTGCTAATAATGTGCCTAGTAAGTTTCAATTTTAAGCAATAGTTTTAATTACTTTAGCAGCTTGCATTGTAGAAGGCATGTTACTAATTGTAATCAACTGAATCCCAATATTTCTATTTATTTGATGTCAGTGTTTTTGTTTTTAGTATTGTATTTTTGTTTAACATGGGATTCACATTACTTTAAGGACTTCTGTGCATTTATTGTTCATTGAATTTAAGTATGTTAAATATATTAATTTTTCACAGTAATTTGGTACATAACTAATAACTTACCTCCCCCTTTTAGCTTCAAGTGGTGTGAGCAGTTCTATGGCAGCAGCTGCAGATAGTGAATCAGATGATAATGAAATGGGTAGGCTACAGGGTAGGTAAAAACATAGCATATCTGATGATGGAATGGATAGGCTCTATGGTAGGTAGAAAGAGCTTATCTGATGGTGATGGAATAGGTATGGTTTAGGATAGATAGAAAACCATCATAGCTGAATTAGTAAATGGTAGAGTATCAGAAATGCAATATGTGTGATGGTAGAATGGGTAAGCTTCAGGATATGTAAAGCACATGTATGAAGAATGGAGTGGGTAGGTATAAATGTAATGTGTGATGGTTGAAAGGGTAAGCCTCGGTATAAGTAAAGCATGTGTATGAATGATGGAATTGGTAGGTATAAATTCAATGTGTGATGATGTAATTGGAAGGTATAAATGCAATGTGTGATGGTGGAATGGGTAGGTACAAATGCTACGTGTGATGGTTCAATGAGTAAGCTTCAGGATAGGTAAATCACTTGTGTAAATGATGGTGTGAATAATCTACATAGTGGGTTTAAATACATCTGGTAATGGAATGAATAGGCCTTATAAGAGTGAATTGAAACACAGAATATAATGATGCAATGGGCCTACAAAATTGGTTAAAACACAAAATGTCTTTTAGTGGAAGGGGAAGTCTCTAGGCTAAGTAGAAATGCTGGGTGTCTGATGATGGAGTGGTTAAGCTTCTCAGAAAACTTAGAAACCCAAATGTATGATTGTAATAGAATGGATAGTATACAGAGTAGGTAAGAGCACTATTTGTGATGATAATGGCATAAATAATAGGGACACAGATCATGAAAAAGTCATAATTTTGTAAACAAATTTGTTACTACTAGAAATTCTGAAAAACTAGTGGTATTTAACAGGAATTCCTAGAAAAAGTTTTTGGAAATATAACACCATTGCTCCTACATCCTCCATTTTGCTTGTAAAAGCCATACCATTGTTTTTCTCTCAAAAAATTATCTCTATAAAATGTGACTTGTAGAATGGGAAATACACTGACTCGGCAATGCTTATAAATAACAGATTTTGAACTTTGTGCCTCTGTCTTTAAGCTAAGGTGTCACATTGTTGGAATGATATTGTTAGCATAAACTAAGCTACAGGTTTGTTGGAGGGAAATATAAAATCATAAAGTTTTTGATAGGATAAAGACACCAATTATTTAGAATTCTCTTAACTTCATCTTCAGCATAAACACTTCAAATATAATTAATATTTCTAATCTAAGTTTTTCATCAGTTATTGTCTTACATTCATTAATAAAGAGAGAGAGAGAAAAATCCAAATGCCAACAACAGAATAGAATGAATCTCTTTACTCTTTCAGCACGGGCTCGGTCCCTTGGAACAACCTTTTAACCATTTTGTGCTTGTTATAGTTTTCATGCCATAACTTTTAAATTAGTAAGCATATGTTAACAAAATTTGGCAGATTATCAATAAACATTACAATGTGTTTGTATGCAAAATATATTTTTTTTTAATTAAGCCTTAAGGTTTGTTAAACAATGTTTTTCTCATACCATTTTTTTTCTTTTCAAATGTTGCCTATCCAACATGCAAAGTAATTTTCATTTTAAGATTAAAAATACTTTTATGCATCGAAAATTTTCAAATTTCACATGTGAAATCTGTATAATGTTCTGATAGTTATCAAACATTTCTTAAGAAAAAAACTATATTATCTGTTATTTTCAGTAACATATCTCTATACGGGTTTGGTAAATTTGCTGATCTTGTAACCACCATAAAAAAGTAGGAAATAAATATAAGATGTGCCTCTTTCATTCTAGAATGATAACAAATTATAACACAAAAACATAAATATTTAAACTAAATAATATAAGTATTTATATTTTTATTATATTCACCTTTCAGCCATGCCTGGCTAACAATACAGAAGTTACAATGATGCAGCAACATGTGCACTCATGTTACCATATCCAATAATACAAAACTGATCTTTAGTCTTTACAAAGTGACCTGTCTTGGCTGTGTTTTTAGTAGACTAGTATTTTGTAAATAGTCACATTTCAATTATTATACATTATATATGTATACAGACTAGTAGACTAGTATTTTGTAAAATAGTCACATTTCAATTATTATACATTATATATGTATACAGACTAGTAGACTAGTATTTTGTAAAATAGTCACATTTCAATTATTATACATTATATATGTATACAGACTAGTAGACTAGTATTTTGTAAAATAGTCAC